CATGGTGCCCTGTGACACTGTCCTTGCACCTCTGATGTTGTCCCGCCTCGCAGGACCTGGCTGAGAAGCACCAGAAGACGCTGCAGCTGCTGCGCAAGCAGCAAACAACCATCCTGGATGATGAACTGATCCAGTGGAAGCGTCGGCAGCAGCTGGCGGGGAATGGGGGCCCACCCGAAGGCACCTTGGATGTGCTGCAGACTTGGTGAGTACCTGGTGGGGTGGGATGGGGCAGGGTGCTGAGCCCCAGTGTGTGCTGAGCCCTGTTTCCCGCAGGTGTGAGAAGCTGGCAGAGATCATCTGGCAGAACCGGCAGCAGATCCGCCGTGCCGAGCACCTGTGCCAGCAGCTGCCGATCCCAGGCCCAGTGGAGGAGATGTTGTCAGAGCTGAACGGCACCATCACTGACATCATCTCTGCCCTGGTCACCAGGTACAAGTTGGGCTCAAATGGGTGGGGGGCCAGGTTGGCCCTGCTGCCTTCCCAGCATCCCTGATCCCCCTACCCTCCAGCACCTTCATCATCGAGAAGCAGCCCCCTCAAGTGCTGAAGACACAGACCAAGTTTGCAGCCACCGTGCGGCTTCTGGTGGGGGGGAAGCTGAATGTGCACATGAACCCCCCCCAAGTGAAGGCCACCATCATCAGCGAGCAGCAAGCCAAGGCCCTGCTGAAGAATGAGAGCACCCGCAAGTAATGCCAGGGGCTGGGGGTGTGTGGCTGGGGCTGCCAAGGCAGTGACGGGGGGGGAAGGGCTGCCCTTTGCACAGCTCCAGCCCTGGTGGTCCCCTGACTCCCTGCATTCCTGTGGCAGTGAGAGCAGTGGGGAGATCCTCAACAACTGCTGTGTGATGGAGTACCACCAGGCCACTGGGACACTCAGCGCCCACTTCCGCAACATGGTGAGTGCCCCTGGTTCCCTGTCCTGTCCCCCTGTGTCCCTCTGTGTTCACCCCAGTGTCCCCATCGGTTCCTCCACGCTCACCCCTTGTGTCCCTGCAGTCCCTGAAACGGATCAAGCGCTCAGATCGCCGCGGGGCTGAGTCAGTGACAGAAGAGAAATTCACCATCCTCTTTGAGTCACAGTTCAGTGTCGGTGGGAATGAGCTGGTCTTCCAGGTGAAGGTAAAACCACTATGTCCCTTCTGCTGGCCCTAGGCAAGCCATGGACACAGGAGTGGGGCTGAGCTGGGGCTGCATGGGTGCCCATGGGTGATGCTCCCTTGCCCCACAACCCATTTTGGTCTCCTTCCTCTTGGTAGACACTGTCCTTGCCTGTGGTGGTAATTGTGCATGGAAGCCAGGACAACAATGCCACGGCCACTGTGCTTTGGGACAACGCTTTTGCTGAGCCCGTGAGTGCCATGGGGCAGGACAGGCCCCATCTGTCCTGAGTGGGTGTGGGAGTAGGGCTCAGCCTCCTGGTGGGACATGCCTGGAGGCATCAGGCAGAGCTGGTGCTGACCATGCTCTCTGCCCCCAGGGCCGCGTGCCCTTTGCTGTGCCTGACAAGGTGCAGTGGCCACAGCTCTGTGAGGCGCTCAACATGAAGTTCAAGGCAGAGGTGCAGAGCAGCCGTGGGCTGACCAAGGAGAACCTGGTGTTCCTTGCACAAAAGCTCTTCAATAGCACCAGCTCCCACCTGGAAGACTACAGCAGCACCACAGTGTCCTGGTCCCAGTTCAACAGGGTAAATGGCCTGGGCTCTGTCCAGAGCCCCCAGTGCTTGTGCTTCTGGGGCTGGATGGGGACATACTCACCTGGGGGTCCCTGAGTCTCTGCTGCTCCGCCCAGTGTCTCTGCTGGGTAGCAGAGGCTCAGAGGCTGGTGACAGGAGTGCTCATTTTCTGGGGATTTCAACAGGAAAACCTGCCTGGGAGGAATTACACCTTCTGGCAGTGGTTTGATGGGGTCATGGAGGTGCTGAAGAAGCATTTGAAGCCGCACTGGAATGACGGGTAAGAGCCGCCCTGCCCTGTGCTGCCTGGCCTGAGCCCCAAGCCCTGACGCCCTACTCTGCCTAGGGCCATCCTGGGCTTCGTCAACAAGCAGCAGGCACACGACCTGCTCATCAACAAGCCCGACGGGACCTTCCTCCTGCGCTTCAGCGACTCGGAGATCGGTGGCATCACCATTGCCTGGAAGTTCGACTCCTGTGAGTGTGTGCCAGGCACTGGCATCCCTGGACCAAGTATCCCTGGCCCCAGCCGGGGCATCTCATGCCCGTGGGGTATTGGCACTGCCACAGCAGACGTGCTGGAGCCATCCTCAGGAAAGAGGCGAGCACCAAAGCCCCCAGAATGCCTTGGCTGTCCTATGGGGAGCGATGCTGCCCTTGCTCACTGCAGCTGTGGCTGTGTCAGGCCTGAACACTGGCAGCAGGGAGGAGGGACCAGGCTGAACCCTCCAACCCAGCCCTGGGGAGTGATGTGGTCTGTACGAAATCCAGTTACTCAGTGGTGCTCCCCAGTGCAGGGGTTGTCAGGGGTGGCCTGACCCCATGCAGGAGTCTGTTGCTGTTTGCAAAAGCATTCTTTGGAGGGTCACATGGCTGAGAAGCACCACAGAACCCTACAGAGGCCCGTGGCTGGGGAACCAGCCCCCATGTGTCAGGATGAGGCCAGACCTGCCTTGGCTTCACTGTGCCTCCTACCTTATCCCATTTTCTGGTGATCTGTGCTTTATCCTCAACTGTTGCTGGGGGAGGGATGCAGTGTGGGATGTGCTGTTTGTTGCTTGATGTGACCTCGCAGCCCATGTCCAGAGCATGGCCAGGAGCTGCTGCAAGCTCTGGGAGTCACCATGATCCTCACGCTTGTCTTGCAGCTGAGAGGATGTTCTGGAACCTGATGCCTTTCACCACCAGGGACTTCTCCATCCGCTCCTTGGCTGACCGCCTTGGGGATCTCAGTTACCTCATCTACGTGTTCCCCGACCGGCCCAAGGACGAGGTGTTCTCCAAGTACTACACGCCGGTTCTCTGTGAGTCCACGCCAGGTAGCGCTGTCCCTCCACCCCACATGTCCCCTCCTTTGTGCATCCAGCCAGGATGGAGCTGGTGTTCTCAGCATCCCCCCTGCCCTAGGGCCACACGGGCCCCACAGGGCTTCTGCATCTGGCCACGTGTGAGCCCCCAGCACTGCCTGGGGTCGTGGCATGTGCTGGAACTTGGGCCTCAATGCTGCCTGTTTCTCTCTAGCTAAAGCTGTGGATGGATACGTGAAGCCACAGATCAAGCAAGTGGTGCCAGAGTAAGTGTTACCCCAAAGGCAGATCCTGGGCAGTGGTTGCCATGGGTTCCCAGCCCTGAACTGGCTGGGTTGGGTGGTAGCCCAAGGCACTGAGGAGCTCAGGTCCACCACCAATGGCCACATTGGTGCTCAGCCTTGTGAGACATCTTGGCAACTTCCCCTTTGGGGCACCCATCCTGTCCCGTGCCAGTGCTCATGAGACCCATCCCCACAGGTTTGTCAATGCATCAGGAGATTCTGCCCCTGGAGGGGCCACCTACATGGACCAGGCACCCTCGCCTGCCGTCTGCTCCCAGCCTCATTACAACATGTACACCCAGAAGTAAGTATCACACCCCTATCCCTGTACTGCTGCAGCTGGTCCTCCCCTCACCGCCTGCCTCCCACAGCCCCGACCCTGTGCTGGACCCCGAGGGTGATTTTGACCTGGAAGACACGATGGATGTGGCAAGGCACGTGGAGGAGCTGCTGCGGCGCCCTGTGGACAGTCAGTGGATCCCCCACGCCCAGTCGTGACAGGCAGGCGCCTGGTCCCTTGCCCCTGGCCTCGGTGCTGCGGGGACTGTGCTGTGTTCGTGTCTCTGTGCCAGGGGACAGCGGGTGGGCCCTGCCCCCAGGATTTGCTCTGTGCCCCGAAACACAGGCTGGCGTCCAGCTCTTTGGTGTTTATGCCCTTGTATAAACAGCAGCGGATTTGTCGCATGGTTTTCCTGTATGTTCCTTTTAAGAGGCCCAGCTTCGGCTTTCCGCTTCTGCCAGCACTGGCCCTGCAGCCCCCGTCCCCCCGGGGTGCTGCCGGGGCAGGGGCCGCCAGCCCGGCCTCAGGTTCGCTTTTGCAGTCGTCACTAAGAATGTACATGTCGCCTTCTTGTTCTCCCCCGCGGCTCCGTTCCCAGGGGTGCATGAGGGCAGAGGGCAGAGGAAGGGCTCTGCCAGGGCTCCCCTAGCCTGTGCTGGTGCTCTGCTCCACAGTGGCAGGGTCCCTGGATCTCATCTTCTCCTCTGCCCCCAAGGATGCAGGAGCCCCTCCGGTGTCCCCTTTGGAGCCGGTGCAGCACGAGGGTGGCAGGGTGCAAGGGCACCCAGCGAGGACAGTCGGGTGGGCAGGCGGTTTGGGGAGGCGAAGCCCTCTGCCCCCTGCCTCTCCCCTTGCCTGGGCGGGAAACTCTGGGGTCCTGGCCATGTTATTTTTCTATCACAGAGTAAATAAAGCACGGAATATTTTTGTAACACAAAAGCTCTGGGTGCCACGTGTGTCTTGGGACAGAGGCGGGTCCCTCTGGGTAGCTCCTCATCTCGGGTGCACCAGATGAATGCTGGGGCTGGTGCTTGGGGTTCCTATCTCCGAGGGCAGGGTCGTTGGGCCTCCGTTGGCACAAGCTGGGCAGATCCAGGAGGCTCTGTCCGGGCGAGAGGCTGCCCTGGGAGCAGGGGTTGGGCTGGGCTGGGGCCGTTTTACAGGGCAAAAAGAAAGGTAACCGGATCAATTGCTCCGTTTTCCCCAAGAAGCTTGCTCTTGGAAGGGTAGAGGGCGCTGGTACTCGGGACTCACTTGCTGTTGAATTCCCCGCGGAGCGGGGGGCTTCGGGTGTGCTGTGTAAAGGCGAAAATGAAAATAAAAGTAAAGCGGGGAGGGGGGCGGCGCCGGGCGCGAAAATTCTCCGTCATTTCTGCCGGAGGCGGAATAGCCGGGTGGGCCAGGAGGGCCCGGGACCGGGTCCCTGCCCTGGGGCGGTGTCCGCATTCCGCGATGCTGCCGGCGGTGGCGGTCGCGGCGGTGGTGGCCGTGGCCGCGGCTGTGGCCGTGGCTGTGGCCACGGCCGTCCCCGGGCTGCGGCACCGCCTGGTCCGTTCTGCGCTGCGCTGTGCCGGGGGCCGGTACCGGCGGCGTCTGGAGGCTCTGGGCAGCGACGTGCGGCTGCGCCAGGAGCGGCGGCTGCGGCGCCCGCTGGGCACCGGCACCGGGACGGCCGGCGGTGAGCGCGGGGCTGCGGGAAGGGGGTCGGGAAGGGCTCGGTCCCGTGGTTGCCCTTCTCAGCTTGTCCTCTCCCGGCAGGCTCGGAAGAGTTCCAGAAGCGGCATCCCTTGGGGCAGCCCTGTCGGGACGAAGCGCCGGGAGATTCGGTTCCCCCGCTGCGTCTCTGGGCTCTGCTCCCCGGCTGCTGGGACTCCGACCCTCGGCTGCAGGTACGAGGAGCGGCGGGCGGGGTGGGCGCGGATCCCCGCAGGGCGTGCCCTCCTGACCCTCCCCTCCCCCGCAGGGGTCCCTGCTCTACCTGGATGCCCTCGGCGCCGCCTTTCCACGGGCACTGACCCGCCGGGGCACGGCCCTGCTGCACTGGAGCCCTGGCTGTCCCCGCGCCCCGGCGGGGTGGCCGCTGCCCACCCTGTACTGCACCCCGGCCGCAGCGGGCACCCTGCCCTCGCGGGCCGCTGCGCTGCGGGTGCAGCTGCTCTTTGCCCTGCGGCAGCGTGCGCTGCATGTGCTGGAGGCCGGGCTGGCAGCCGAGCTGCACGACGCGCTGGTGGCCCTGCGCACTGAATGGCCCCAGCTGGCCCAGGAGCTGGCGCTGGGCAGGCTCAGCCCCCAGCCCGGGCTACCCGAGGAGGTGCGGGACCAGCTGCAGGCACTGCTGATCCCTGATGCTGCCCGGGCAGCCGAGCTCCGTGCTGAGTGCGCCCGTGGCTTCGAGGGCATCTTGCTGCGTCTGTGGCCACAGCTGGAGGTGGTGGTGGTGAGGACGGTGCATGGTGCAGAGCGGCTCTACTGCAACTCCCTCTGCCAGGCTGATTGCCAGGGGCTGCCCTTCTACTGTCCCTTCTACCAGGCAGCAGGAGGTGAGTGTCCCCCACGCTGGTGTGTCCCCATGCTGCCCCGGATGCCCACAGGGAACTGCTGCCATATGGCAGCACAGATCTCCCTGCCACAGCAGATGCTGGTGCATCTCTATGCTGCATTCCCTTCCTGCAACCAGAAAACAACTCAATCCTGGCACCAGCAAAATTCTACCCCTTGGAGAGGGATGAGGCTTCTGTGGGCAATGATGGGGGGTCTGGGGAGCTCACATTGGCACATGCTACCTCTACCTAGCCCTGCTTGGTGTAAACCTTTGGCCAGCGGAGCCAGTACCCCGATTCCTGCTGTGCCCTGACTGGGCTTTCTGCGAGTTCCTGCCCTGCTTGGCCAACAAGGAGCCACGGACGGTGCTGCTGGATGAGCTCTGGGAAGGACGCGAGTATGGGCTGGTTGTGACAGCTCAGGCAGGAGAGTACAGGTGCCTCCTCCCTGCTGTGTAGTCCTGGAGGGCTGCCTGCCCCAGCCCCATGCACCATCTCCCTTACACTCTCCCTGCCCATGCAGGTGCCGTACTGGGGACGTGCTGAAGGTGACTGGCTTCCACATGCAGTGTCCCGTGGTGGAACCTGTGCGCAGGTGAGGACACCCCCGTCCCTCACCTTAGGGAGCTGGGCTCATATACTGGCATGGTCTTAACAGGAGAGTGCCAGTGACCCACCCAGTGTCCCTGCACCGCAGGGAGAGCCAGACGCTGAGCGTGCGAGGTGAGAGCATCCCTGAGGAGCAGTTCTGCCAGAGCCTGTGCCGCACCCTGAGGATGTGGCCAGGCGCTCGCCTGATTGACTATGTCTGTGTGGAGAGCAGCCTGCTGGGTGAGTTCCCTGAGCTGTCCAAGTCTCCCCAAAAGTGTAGCTGGCACTGCATGGGCTCTGCAGCCCTCCTGTGTCCACAGGGCTAGGGGCAGCTCTAACATACTCATGGTACTGCTCCAGGTGACTTATCAGGGCCCAGTGCCCCCCACTACGAGGTGTTCATGGAACTGCAAGGCCTGCGGGACCTGTCAGAGGGGCAGCGCTACAAGGTGAGCAGGACCTGGGCTCTGCTCTGGGTCTGTGTGGGGTGGCTGAAGGACACTGGTATGGCAGTGTGGGACCAGCACAGGCAGCTGCCCTCTCTTTGCAGCTGGACCAATGTCTCCAGGAGGATTTCCCCGTCTACAAATCCTTCCGCTTCAAGGGCAGCATTGGGCCCCTGCGCCTGCACCTGGTGAGGCCCGGGACCTTCGCCCAGCTGCGGGAAGCACTGGGCTCCCCCAAGCCCATGCCCAGGGTCCTGCACGAAGAGCAGCTGCTGCGGCTCGTCCAGGGATCAGTCATCTCCTAGGGCAGCCTAGGGGTCCCGAAGCCCTTCCACCCTGGGGTTTGCTTGGCATACTCCCTCTGAGGAGGGGCCGTGTCCCTGGGGTGGGAGGGTGGGGGGAAAAGGGTGCCCAGCCCCAAGGGTTTGGCTGAGTGGAGCAAATGGAGACAGCGAGCTTGACTGTGATCCGTGGTGGCAGGAGGCACCACTCAGTGCTGCCATGGGGATGGAGCAAGAGCTTGGGAGCATCACGGGGCAGTGGGATCCTGCAGCTGCAGGACCCCCTCACTCAGTGCCTTAGCAGAATCTGCAGCCACAGTGGAGTGGGTGCCTGTGCCTTTCCCAAGGTACACACTGTGCACCATAGCCCATGGCTGAGGTAGAGGGCTCAATAGAAACCTCTGTGGGAGCAGGAGGGGCAGAACAGGCGTGGCTCATCACTGAGCACTGGGGCTCTGTGGCATTTTGTACCCTGGAAGGGACACTGTAGGCAGGGCTCAGGTGGCTGGTGGTGGAAGGTGCCACAGAGCAGCCCCAGCTGGGCTTCAGTACATGTCCACTGGTTTAAGAATAAGCTCCAGTGAGGGCTGCTTTTAATGTTTTAAAAACCAAATACAAAATAAAAGAGGATTATCTTTTAAAAATAAATAAAGGACTGCACTCTGGGATTGATTTTTTAGGCTATTATTTTTAATCTTCATTAAAGAGATTGCTCAAGCAATCTGACTGCTCTGAGGGCTGAGGAGTTGCTGCTGTTCTCGGGGGTCCTTGGGAAGGGGAGGCCATGAATATTTAACCAGCTGAGCAGCCTCTGTGCTCTGGGGGCACCAGGCTCTTTGTGCCTTTGAGGCACATGTGTACCAACGGGAGGGACTGGTCATTTCCTCTCCTGCTCATTAAGGGTTATTTCAAGGGCTGGCAAGGGCGTGTGGGGCACCTGCTGTGCCGCAGCTGCTGCTGGTGGGCAGCCGGGCCGTGGGCAGGAGATGATGTCTTGAACAAGGCTCACACAAAGCAAAGCATCCCCAGGCACAGCCGAGACCCCCGCCAGGGATAAACCTGGCTGAGGCCTACTCCCCATCCCTGCTGGAAAAAAAACTGAAGCAAAATTTCTGCTCCAGATCGGGCAGGGAGAAGCTTTGCCTTGAACGGGGAGCACCCCGCAACAAAAGCATTGCCTGGCAGAGCGATGTGGGGCCAGGGCTGCACTGGGCGTCTCTGCTCGCACTGCTGTGCCCGGGTACCACCCCGGTGGGAGGGGAGGTTGGTGGGGTGGAACCTGCTGGGCAGGGCCAGGCTGCTGAGTGCCCGGCTGGATTTGGATGCCAGGCTGCAGGTTGCAAGGTCGATTTGAGTGCCCGGCTGCAGGGTGCAGCTTGTTTTGGGTGCAGGCTCATTTGTGCTGCTGGTACCAAGGCTAGAGGGTGCGGGTGCCCGGTTGAAGGATGCCAGAGTGGGTTTGCGTGCCTGGCTGCAGGGTGCGGGCTCGGCCGGGGTCCCACTGGGATGGAGCGGCTGCCGGGCCTGGGCGCTGCGGTGCTGGGCGGAAACCGGGGATGCCCTGGCGGTGGAAGGTCCCGGTGCCCGTCCGCGCGCCCCGCCGCTGCAGCCCAGGGCGAGGGGACCGCGCCGTCCCCATCCCCATCCCCGCCGCGTCCCCGCCCCCGCCCGGCCCATCCCCTCCTCCCGGCCGCGCCGCCTCCCGCCCGCTCCGCCACTGAGCCCGCAGCGGCGGCGGCGGCGGGCGCAGGCTCCGGGCGCCCCGGGGCCCCGCGGCGGCCGCTGCCCTGAGGCCGCGGGGGATGGCGGAGGGGCCCCGGGGCGCCCCGCCGCCGGGCTCGCCCCGCCCCGCCGCACCGCTGCCCAACGGGCCCCGCGGCGGCGGCGGCGGCGGCGGCGGCGGCAGCCCCGGCTCAGGCTCAGGCAGCAGCAGCCGCGAGGACTCGGTGGAGCGGAGCCCCGCGCCCGCCGCGCCCCGGGCCAGCATCATGAAGGTGAGAGCCCCGCACCGGCAACGCACCGGCCCGGCCCCCCCCGCCCCGGGCCCGGCACCTGCGCAGCGCTGGGGTGCCGAGCCGTGTACCCCCGCCGAACCCCGCGTCCCCCCGCATCGGCTCTCGGTTCCCCCTGTGCCCGTCGAGCAGCTCCGAGGAGCTGCAGAGCAGCCGCATCCCCGGGTGATAGAGGTTCGCCACCTGCCCGCGGTGCTGGTCACACCGGGACTGACACGGCGTCTCCGCGCCCTGCCCGGACCCAGGGTCCCCAAGAGCACAATCTGGCCCGGCCCGGCTCTGTGGAGTGTCCATGGGTCGCCCTGTCAAGTGTCATGGCCAGGCTGCAGCATCACCCGGTCCTGCTCAGGACACCCTTGGGTTTCCGTGAGAAAATGCCCGCTCCCGCCCCTCGAGCAGCTTCTGCTCTCCCATGCTCTCTCCTGACAAGCCCTGAGCCTTGGGCCTGGCCTGACCAGCTTGCAGTCTGCTCCCAACACCTGGTGTCGGTGTTGCCGGGCCGTGGTGGGGCCGTGCTCCAGGGAGGGTCTCGGGGGTCTCCCACCTGGGTGGGCAGCGGATCACACGTGTGCTTTCCTAAATGAACCCCCCTGATTGTGCTGATGCTGGCGGTACTCGCTGACACAATAGGTCACGTCCGCCCGGGACTCTCCTCCCTGCTCCCGGCAGCCTATTTTAAGCTGGGATTGCTCCGGTGCTATTAATACCCCGTGAGGGGGCTGTTTCCGTGGTGCCCCAGTCCCGCTCTTCTGTCCCCAGGATCCAGTTTTCTGGGGAGCGGTGTCAGGACCCTGAGTCCCTGCCCGCACCCGCCTGGGCTCTCGCTGCAAACTGTTGCGGGGGCGGCCGGGCTGTGCCCACGCGGTGACGGCACGGAGACCTGCCGGTGCTCCCGTGCAACCAGAGGCTGGTGCCAGTGCACCGTCTGTGACCGGTTTCCCTGGGGACCTTGCCGGGGTCTTCTGCTCCCCCCGGGACGGACCAGCATCTTTCCTTGCCCAGGGACCATCCGTGGGCACTGCGGGATGGGAGTGTTGAGCCTCTCCTTGCGCCCGGGCGGGCACATCCCTGTCACCACCTGCGTCACCACGGGATTTGGCCTCACGTGAAGGTCGGGTGGCCCAGGGCCAGCGCTGGCGGGGGAGGGCACTGGACCGGGGGGGAGGTCAGACCCGGACAGCGTCCCCAGCTTGTGCTGATCCGTTGTGCATCTCCGAGTCCATCTGGGGCCTGAGCGGCAGTGGAGGCACATGTGGAAAGAGCTGCCGGCTCTGTTATTTTTTGAGATTTCCAGAAGAGGCTGGAGGAGTGAATATGAAAGTGCGACTCACTATCTGTGTGGAGGTAGGGGGTCCTGGGGCAGCGGGGTCCAGAGCTGTCCCCTGCAGTGTCCCTGTGCCCTGGCTGGAGGACCTGCTCCCTTCTTTCTCCCCAGGCCGAAAGCGGAGGGGGCTGGCTGTCCCGTGGGCTGGGAGGATGCTGGAGAGGGACATAGGGGTATTGTATCTGTTCTCCCTTGCTGCAGGAGGTGTCCCTTCCCTGGCATTTTGCTGTTCTGTCCCCTGAGCCCCCTTCCCATCGTGTGCCAGCCCCAGGAGCTGTGTGGTGCCTTTGCTGGGATCTGACTCCACGGCCCCTCACCGGGGAGTGGCAGCTGGTGCCGCGGGGAGTGGATGTGTCAGTCGCTCTCTTCTTGGCAGGGAACAAACGACTGTAGAAAAGCCCTGACTGTGCCTGGTCTCCCACTGCCTCAGCTCCGGGGTTGCTGCCTGCCCTCACCCCTTCCCACGCTTTCCAGCCTGAGATAGGGTAGTGGGGAGACCCAGGACCTGAGGAATTCAGCTGCAGATGAGTCACTTCACGGCCAGGATGGAGGATAAAGGGAAGGGAGAGACAACTGATGGGCCTTTCTCCATCCCGTGCTTTGAGATTGGGTTACATGGCCGGTAACATTGGCCATCACGTGGAGGCTGAGATTAGGGCATCAGCACTCACCAGGGCACTAATGCAGGAGATAATTGGCTGAAGAGGTGCTTAACACATGCTGCAGAGCTGGGCAGGGCAAGCAACTGGGCTGGAACGTGCCCTCCCGTGCAAGCCCACGCTCACCACTGGCATCGTGGTCGTGGTCGGCGTCGGCATCAGCATCGTGGTCTGTGCTTTGCTCCGTGGAGCCCTGCCTACTCCCTGCCAGCTCGGTGGCACAGTGAGCGGGATCCCTGCTCTGGCCAGAGCCCTGCCCTCTGTCTGGAGGTGTTCCATGCTGTCGTGGCCATGGACGCCGTCTCCTCCCGACTCCTCTGCTGCTTTACTCGTCACCTGCCTGCGCTGCTCCTGCCGCGCCTCGCCCAGCACTTCGTGGGCTGTGCCCCGGGTTGAAGAGCACCTGGAACAGCCTGGGAAGGGGCTGCCAGGGAGCAGAGGCTCTTCCCTGACAGTCCCCAGGCCGCACTGAGGAGTGTAGGGCAGCTGCAGACTGGGAGGGAGACTCCTCGCATCTCCTGCTCGCTGCTTGCCCGTGCAGGGGGAGAAGCAGAGCCTGTGTGGTGCAGGGCGCTCTTGGATCTGTGCCATATATCTGCACCCCAAAGTGCTGCAGCAGGTACCCCCCTTCCCTATCTAAGCCTGGGAGCGTGGGGGTCTGCAGGGAGGGCGTTCGGGCTGAGCCGGGGTGGCCAGGGGACCGGCGGGGCTGGTGCCAGGGGGGTGTATCTGTGCCTGCAGCGGGCACAGCTGGAAGCAGGTCCCTGGCGCTGGGTGCACGCAGGCCCCCCGCCCGTGTTTCCTTTCCGGATGGATTTCCTGTTTTCATCTGTGGGGCCCGGTGCGGAGCCGCGGGGTGGGTGCGCCGGGCGGGGAGCGGGTCTGCAGGGAGGCGGGGGGGTCCTGCCGGGGGCAGGAGCTGCGGCCCCCTCCGGTGCCCATAGCCCCGCGGCGAGCTGGGGGCTGGGGCTGCCTGGCAGTGGGGCGCTCAGGTTGCAGCATGCAGGAAGCATCCGGCGTCGAGTCCTTCCCCGCAGGGCTGGCCGATGGCATGACCTGCCGCTGAGCGCCTGCCGACCCGGGATGG